GCTCAAACAGCCCTCCTGCCTTATCCTCCCTGATAGCTGTAACTACAGGTGCATGTCACCATGTCTGGCTAATTTTTTTTTTTTTTAAGACAGGGTCTCACTATATTGCCCAGGGTGGTCTTGTAACTCCTGGCCTCAAGTGATCCTCCTGCCTCAGCCTCCCATAGTGCTGAAATTACAGGCCACTGTGCCCAACCTCCATCTATATGTCTTCGCCCACTTCCTAATTTTAAATTTATTATGAAGTATTTTACTATTTTTGAAGCTGTGAAAAATAGAATTGTTTTCTTAATTTCATTTTCTTTTTTCACTTTTTTTACATGCTGCTTTGAGATGAGATTAATTTTATTTTCAGATTGTTCATTGCAAATGGATAAAATACATTGATTTTGTATATTGATCTTGGATTCTTTGACTTTGATGAACTCATTTGTTATCTAAGACCTACCTTCTACAAAGAGAGATAGTTTTGCTTCTTCCTTTCCCATCTGGACTCCTTTTATTTGTTTCTCTTGCCTAATTGCCTTGGCTAGAACTTCTAGTACAATGTTGAATAGAAGTGACAAGAATGGACATCCTTGTCTAGTTCCTAATCTTAGGGGGATAGTATCTAGCCTTTCACTGTGAATTACGATGTTAGTGTGAGTTTTTCACAGAAGTCCTATAGCAGGTTGAGCAAGTTGGGGAAATTTTTAAGCGTGTAAATGCTTGGACCCTACCATTACAGTTTCTGATTCACTGAGTCTGGGAAGGACCAGTACCTTTACTTGTACAAAGGTATATAAGAAAATAAAAGGTATGAGGCCGGGCATGGTGGCTCACACCTGCAATCCCAGCACTCTGGGGGGCCGAGGCGGGCAGATCGCCTGAGGTTGGCAGTTCAAGAACAGCCTGACCAACATGGTGAAACCCTGTCTTTATAAAAAATAAAAATAAAATAATTAAAAAAAAAGAAAATAAAAGGTATGTTATTCTGATCCACAGGGTTGAAAATACCTGCTATATCATGGTTGTATCTTATACTTCGTTCTTTTAAAATCTATGCTACCACTCTCATTCTTCTCCCTCAACTGAGCACCTTGGACTTAATAGTATCAGGTTCCTAATGCTAAGCTAATTCTTTCAGACAGCAAAACATGAAAAAATGGGTTGTATTGCATAGGTTAACTTCCTTTTATATACTGGGTATGATTAGAATATGGTATTAAGATTTATTTTCACTTATAAGTAATATAAACTACTTGATGATCCCACTTATGGCTAATTTCCTTCCTTATAGCAGAGGTGGTACTCAGAGAATAATAATATTTTCCTTTTTTTAAAATTTCAATAGGTTTTTTGGGAACAGGTGGTGTTTGGTTGCATGAATTAGTTATTTGGCGGTGATTTTGGAAATTTTGGGTGCACCCATCACCCAAGCAGTTTACACTGTATGCGATGTGTAGTCTTCTAACCCTCACTCCCCCCACCCTTTTCCCCAAGTCCTCAAAGTCCATTGTATCATTTTTATGCTTTTTTGTCCTTAGAGCTTAGCTCCCACTTACAAGTGTGAACATATGATGTTTGGTTTTCCATTCCTCAGTTACGTCACTTAGAATAATGCTCTCCAGGCCAGGAGTGGTGGCTCACACCTGTAATCTCAGTACTTAGGGAGGCTGAGGTGGGTGGATAACCTTAGGTTGGGAGCTCCAGACCAGCCTGAGCAACATGGAGAGACCCCAGCTCTATTAAAAATACAAAATTAGCCAGGCGTGGTGGCGCATGTCTGTAATCCCAGCTATTCAGGAGGCTAAGGCAGGAGAATCGCTTGAACCTGGGAGGCAGAAGTTGTGGTGAGCTGATATTGTACCATTGCTCTCCAGCCTGAGCAACAAGAGCTAAACTCCATCTCAAAAAAAAAAAAAAAAAGATGGTCTCCAATTCCATCTAGGTTGCTTTAAATGCCATTATTTTGTTCCTTTTTGTGATGAGTAGTATTCCGTGGTAGGTAATATACCACATTTTCTTTACCCACACATTGATTAATGGGCACTTGGGGCCGGGCGTGGTGGCTCACGCCTGTAATCCCAGCACTTTGGGAGGCCGAGGTGGGTGGATCACGAGGTCA